AAATAGGTTTAAAATTCCCGGGGACTTTTCCCAAGACAGCTCTGGGCTGGCCGCGAAAAGGCAGCCTTGCGCGGGCGCGGAGAGAAGCGGGCTCCTCATCTTACGCCGGGAGCGGAGATTCGGGACGAGGAACGGCTGTGCAGACGACCGATCCCCGCCTCGCCTCGCCTCGCCTCGCCTGCCGAGAGGTGACTCAGGCAGAGAAGGGAGGTCGTCCCATTGGCAGCAGCCTTCAGGAAATCTACAGTGACACGCTCGTATCTGCTTACCGCTCGACATTTAGGACACAGAGTTCCTCGGGTACGGGTTAATGTTGCTTGTCCATAACTGAACCACGCCTCCAGTTCTGTGAAGCTGCAAAGCTATCTACCCAAATGAGGTGGGTTTAGTTTGGGCTTAAGATGTTGCCCGGATCTGGCCGTTATACTTGTAAGTGGTAGTTCGCAAGTGATAGTTTTGTTTGCTGGGCCAATAAATTGAGGTTTATTCAATAAAGGTTAAATAAATCATGCATTCGTGCTGTGTCAATCAGGCCTGGGAGAGATTATGGCATTGCAAAGTTTCAAGCAGGGCTTTTTGCTTGACTGCAATCTGAAGTTCTCAAGACGGAGACTGGTTCCTCCTAAACTGACAATCAGGTCCTACTGAGTATATATAGCGCACCTACACACATTTGCCTCCACCCTCCCCCTCCAGTCCTGCTGTGCTGCCTTGCCCCTGGGGTGTGTGTGTTCCTGGAAGGGATGAGCAAAGAACTTAAGCAGTGTATGCCAGGAGTGTATATTCCCAGCAGGGTCACCCAAGGTGTGAAGGTCATCCCAGTTGCCCAGCTAAAGCAAGCAGGCACCTGTATTGGATAGCAGCGATATAGGAAGATGCCAGAGGCAGACGATTGCTTTAGTGACAATGGGAAAGGCATCAATTCATACTGCATGGTAAACCACTCCTGTATTTTTACCAGGAAAACCACATGGATAGAAAATATAAAGCAATTGATGACATTGTGCCAGATGATGGGCCCCTTAGGTCGGATGGCACCCAACATGCTACTGAGGAAGAGCTGAGGATCTTTCTGAGTATTAATGGTGTTTATGACACGGCTAGATTAAAGCCTTCAGGATGTCTAGTTGCTGATGTTGCCATACAGAAAAAAGAAAATCAAAGTTGCAAAGGTAGAATTACAGTAAGAAGCATGAACATGGGACGCTCAACACAGTGAAAGATGAAATGAAACATCTACAAATTGACATAGTAGAGATCAGCAAATTGAGATGGACTAGGACTGGACACTTTAAATCAGAAGATCACATGGTTTTTTACTCAGGACCTGAAAAACAAGAAACGGTGTTGCTTTTATAATTAGGAAGGATATAGTAAGAACAGTACTTGGCTACAATGAAATCAATGACCAAATAATATAAATTAGACTTCTTGGAAAACTTTTTAATATGACAATCATTCAAGTTTATGCTCTAACCACTGATGTAGAAGAAGAGTTTGATAACTTCTATGATCAAATTCAATATGAAGTTGACAGAACATGAAAGCAAACTAGATGTGAGAACAAACTATGGAAATTGCCAAGAAGAGAAGAGAAGAGAAGCCAAAGCCAAGAAAGACAAAAATCTTGGAAAATAATTTAACAAAGAGTTTCAGAGAGTTGTTAGAGCTGTTAGAAGAGACAAAAAGCAGCATTACAACATCTGTAAAGACACTGAGGATGGAAACAGACATGGAAAAACAAGGAAGATCTTTCAAAAGATCTCTGAACTCAGAAGGAGTTTCCAATCTTGAATTGGTATGCTAAAGGACTCTAATGGACAGATAGTAACCAATTCAAAGGAGATCAAACAAAGATGGAAGGAGTATACTGAAATATTGTATAGTAGAGATGTCAACATCCAAGATACCTTAGAGGTTTTTCCCTACTTACAAGAACCTCTAGTACTAGAAGATGAAGTTAGAGATCAGCACTCCGGTTGTTATGAAGTTGGAAGGCTATAGGTACCCACTGAAATATAGCAATCAACAGAAGAAAAATCAATAAAGGTTCTAACCAAGAGAGGCCAGCAAGTCTGGAGAATGACACAGTGGGCATCAGATTGGAAGAGGTCAATCTACCTTCCAATACCAAAAAAGGAAACTTAACAGAATGTGCAAACTATCATACAATATCCTTAATTTCACATGCTAGCAAAATAATGCTTAGAATCATCATATTTAACCTATATGCTGAACATATATTAAGGGAAGCTGGATTGGAAGAAGATAAGTGTGGTTTTAAAACTGGAGGAAGAAACATCAATAACATGTGCTATGCTGATAACACTGCCCTGATAGCCAAAAATGCAAAGGAACTACACGCTCTAGTAATAAAAGTCAAGGAGCACAGTAAAAAATGGAACTAAAATTAAACATAAAGACCAACTAATGAGAACAGGTAGAACAGCCAGCCAATTGACAATGAAGATATTGAAGTGGTCTACCTTTTAGGATCAACCATCAACAGTAAAGGAACAGGTAATCAAGAAATATACACAGACTAGCACTTGGTAGAGCAGCCCTGAAGGCCTTGGAAAAGATGCATCTATACCTACGAAGATCAGAATTGTCCAAGCCATGGTAATCCTTGGACACTGTATGGAAAGTTGGACTTTCAAGAAGCAGAATAGGAAGAATATTGATGCTTTTGAACTTTGGTGTTAGAGAAGACTTCTGAGAATACCTTGGCAGCCAAGAAAAGAAACAAATAGCTCATCGAACAAACCAACCCAGAGTTCTTACTTGAGGCACAAATGGCCAGGGTCAAATTATCCTACTTTGGACATATTATGCAAAGACCTAGCTCTCTGGAAAAGTCTCTAATGCTGGTAAAGGTGGAAGGAAACAAAAGAAGATGATGACCAGCAGCAAGGTGGATAGCCTGTTACAGCAGCAATGAGTGCACTGTTGGAAAAGCTGAAGGAACAAGTTAGGAACATATCATCAAGGAGAAAATCTAGTGGTTGCTAAGAGTCAACAACTTGATGGCACATAATCAATCAAGGACTCAGATGACAAGGTGCAAAAATAGCTAATCCTTAGTTTAGAGATATACTTTCTGACTCACGAAGATAAATTTTATTTCTTGTGAGAGAGTTCCTGGGCATATCAGACACTATAGCTTTATTGCAACCAGGAAGATATAGAATTGTTCCTTAGAAAAGCAGAATACTTGCAATCTTTATGGGAAACCCCTACTTCCCGCTAACGATTATGTTCCTCTAAATCTAGGAAAGTACCTATAAATTTCTGGGCCAAAAGCTTAATGAAATATCTCAGCTGTTTTCAATAAATAGTGAACATCTAGATAAATTGAAGATTTGTACAAATTATGGATGCTATTTCCAGTGCACCCAGCAGAACAATTTTTGCAGATTTCAGACATTTTAAATTTAACTTAATTTGGAACTGTAACTAGTATACTTTCCTCTTTTCTGAATGTTTATTCTTGTTTATCCTTAGACTCACTTTGCATTTTTGTTCAGCCTCAGATGGGTGGAAGGTGGGAAAAGAAAGAGATGGACAGGAAAGGTAGGACAGACAATGTGGCATTTCTGCCTCTGGTGGAAGGCTGATTAGCTTGTAAAAGTGCAAGATTTTAAAACCTTAATTAACTTTTATGACAACACACTATGTGGTTACTTTACATCAGAGGAAAACAATTGTTTGCTCACCAGAAACTACAATTAATGGGGGTGGGCGGGCGTGCCAGAGCACGTGTGGGAATAACAAAGGGATGATGTTGTGAAGTAGATGGGGCC